TTTGTAAGAGAAGTGAAGCAGCTTGAGCGCTAGAAAACACATTGGGACGCGCAGTTTTGAAGTCCAAATTTTAGCGGTGATAGGCATGAAGGTGAGACGAGCTCTAATCCAACTTGTATCCACTGATGTGCTTGGGCTGCAAGCAGTGTCAGGCTTAAATCTCCAGAAAGGTATGTTGTGGAGGCCTCACTTTACGGTGTTTTGAAAAGGTCATTGAGTATCAGCTTAACAGAAAATGTATATATATATATATTGGTTAATCATTTGGCCTACCACTTCTTACTTTAGTTTTTGCAATGAGGGATAGCCAGCAGGACAATGCCTCAAAATAGGTTGGAGGTTCGTTTTTTTGTTTTTTTTAAGCACCGTTTTTTTGGTATATTTTTTCGGACTCCGCTTTTGCTGTTTTTGCTTTTGTTGCTTTTCTGCTTCTGCTGTTTTTTGCTTTTGTTGTTTTTCTACTTATGTTGTTTTTCTGCTTATGCTGCGTTTTTGCTTTTGTTGCTTTTCTGCGCTTTGTGTTTTTGTCTTTCTGCTCTTTGCTTTTGTTGTTTTTCTGCTTTGGCAGCTGTTCTCCTTTCTCTTTTTGTTTTTGTTTTTCCATTTGTTTGCTTTCCAACCTTTGGATCTGGTGTGCTGCTGGGGGGTCGCTGCCCCCCCCCCGCGCCACGAAATCTGCACTTCATCTCCGACACCCGCGCCCCACGAAATCAATAATTGAAGGTGAACTCCCTGGGGCAAAAATTCTATCCAACCATATATGCCTCCTGTGCTATTTTTTTATCTTTACTGTTTCTCTGCTAGGAATTTCCCTGACGCCTACACTATTCCAATGTATTTTGCCAGCTATGACAGCTCCCACAATCAACCAGCAAGTAATATGAAACCTGCACTGTTCCAATGTATTTGGCCAGCTACGACACCTGTGTCTCTGCTACGGACACGAAATTGCTGTAATTAGCTAGGTGCTAATAAGAAACCTGCTCTATTCCAGTGGTTTAGAACAAGTCCTGAAAAATACGAAAATCTCAAATTAGAAGTGCACCCAAATAGACTTGAAACCTTCAGATCCCACAGCTCACTCAATGTAAACGGATGAGAAAGGTTGAATCTAAATGTGGGCCTCTAAGCTTTGAAGCGGGCTTCCATGCATCTTGGGGGTTGCGCCAAAAAAAATTTCTGGCAAGTTTAGAAAACCATCAATCGTTTATTCTGGTGCCCCCCCCCAGAAAGCTGAAAGCTAGCCCTTGCAGCGGACCCCCTGGAGTTAAGACCGTGGCAGCCAAGTCCATTCAGTGCGTCTGTGCCTCCGGTATACTAAAAATGTTCAAAAACATCGTAAGAATGGGGCCTCCACAGCGTGCCACACTCTAAATCTTTGTTTGAACCATCATTAGCGAATGGATGTGAACCAGCCATACTTTCCTGAATCCAAGATTCATCCCATCCCACTGACTCTTGCCTTTTGTCCATATCATTTTGTCTCCAATCATCAGTGCCTCGCAACTCAATATCGGGGGTAAAAGTACTCGGTTCTCGATCTTTATCGGAGGGTCTGCGGTTTGACCATTGTATGCGCGCAAGACCCGGCAACACGATTTGATTGATGATTTTGATGATTTCTCTAGCGCTCAGACTCTTGCAAGGCCACACTTTTCAGAAGCACCTGGCAGTAGACAGCTACATGGCTGATGCCTTGACATTGTTTTGCTTTTAAGATTGCACAACTGATAGCAAAATTTAGCGTAACTTTCTGCAGACAAACTGGCTTGCAAAGCAGAGAAGGCACCAATGGCAATGTCAGCAATATCGCCTTTGGTGTGTCCTGAGGTATACGCACACTTGAGACGGTCCGGCTACAAAGTCTCTCGCCAGCAGTCCTAGCAAGTTTGAGATGCTTCATGGTACCGATTTCTTTGCATTGCGGCATTATATATAGGATGGAGATGGATGGAGGGTCCTGGGACTTGTCACCCTAGAGCGGCCAATTCACAATGTGTCAGGCCCAGACAGTCATGCCTCACAGTGCCAGACTTAATGCAACCGGTTTGTGACTCATTGTCTTCAATGCGCATTGAAAGAACCTTGAGATTGATATGACATGATATGATAATATGTATGAATGTATGTCTGTAACATTACATGTAAAGGTGAAGGTAAATGTAAATGTATATACTCTAGATGTACATGTAATTGTATATGTATATATATATACACGTATACGTGACATATATACATGTATGTGTAGGTATATATATATATGTGGTGTATATGGTATATAATATGTGTACGTGTGCGTGTATGTGTATGTATATGCGTGTATGTGTATATACGTGTACGTGTACGTGTGTGTGTGTAGGTGTATGTGGCATATTTTACAATATTTAATGTTTGTTCTTGATTATACAAGCTTCAATGCCAGTTGAGTAAAAGGGGCCAAGGCGGTCTTACTGCTTCTTAGCGATGAGCTTACTTCACAGGCTTTCCAGTGACCGAGAGTTTGCATTTAATTACTCCATGTCGAGTGTTACCAGTCTGAGCAAGAGTTGCGTGTATAGACTGTGGGAGCGCCAACTTATGGGGGACCATGGCCATCCCGTCGGTGTTTTCATGAGTTGTCGTAACTTCCATGCGTCAAAGCAGACAATTTTGGACCGCAATGGTGGAAGCATGTGGAAGCACTACTCGAGGCATGAGTGGGAGTTGCTTTTCCAGCCATCTGATTGTGGCCCTTGCAGGGTTCATGTCGTGAGGCAAGGATATGGCTTGCAAGCTCCACTGTTTGGGGATTACAGACTTCACGAGAGAAGCCGATGACTGGAATAACGGTTGCAGGCCGGACGAGCCAATCCTGCAAAGCCTTTGCAATGGCTTGGCTACTTGGGAAGGACTTGCAACTCCCATGGTCTAAACTAAATTCTGATTCACTTGTATGTTGATTTTTCTAAAATTAATTCTAATTAGAGAGGAGGTGGTGCGTTTAAATGATAGCTTTATATAATGCAAAGCTTATTGAATTTGCATAGAATAAAGATTTACATAACATAATAAATAAGATATACGCTTGATGCAAATTATATTCAAAACTGGAAATAACCCGAATTCAACTGTAACTAAAATAGGGTCAAATTATATAGAGTTTTAAAACCAAGCAAGTTTGAATTGTATAAGGACTAAACTGAAACTGGACAATCAACAAGACTAAAATTGGAATTGAAAGAGAACTAAAATAGAACTATACTAAATTGAATCTGTACAGAATAGAATCTTCCATGAGCTGCCGTGGAGTCAAAACAAAAGCAACTTTACAGTCCAGTCAGTGAAGAGTTTAAACTTTGAGGAACAAATGAAATCAAGAAATTGCACTCTCACAGTCACCCACAATCTTAAAGAGCTGGATGCGCGTGGCTTGACTTCATTTTCACAGTAGATCATTCCTGACATTGAACCAGAGTTAAACTAGAATTACGTTTACAATTCAACTTGCACTTAATTAGACACAAATCAGAATTAGATTGAAATTATAATAGAACGCACTTATATAGAAGTGTAAAACAATCAAACTTGAATTGCGCAAGTAGAATTATTTTAGAAGTATATCAAAGTTGAATTACCGCCAATTTGTTTATATTGGAATTGAACTATAGTTCAATCTGCATCGATGTAGACTGTTTTAATTTAGAACTCGCTTAGAACTTGAATTGACTTAGGATTAGAATTGGATTTGAATTAAACCTAAAACCAAATTCACAAAACAACTAGAGTAGAATTGGAGTAGAATTGAATTTGAATTCAATTAGAATTCAATTGGAATTCAGTTAAAAGTAGTTTTGGAATTCAATCTAAATATAGGTTTAACTCAATCTATAAATGAATTAGATTCAATTAGTAATAGAGTTAGCATTCAATTTAGAAGTAAGTTAGGATTAACTTTGCAATCTCTTGTCGAAATCAATAAGAATTAGTTGGGTTGAAAGCAGAAGCATATTCAAGTTGTAAGACAAGAAAATTAGAAATGAATGACTTGAACTCGAGTTAAGGCAACGATAAATGATAATTGACTTTGAACTAAACGCAAATTAAATCCAAAATGACGCTGGAATTACATTTCATTAGATTAACACTAAATTAGGATAAACTTTGAATCATTTAAGTCAAAACTGAATTAGAATTAAGTTAGAGTTGACTCAAATTAGAACTTAATATAAGTTAGAATTAAGCCATGCCCAAGCCTTTCAATTTGGGACAAGAAGGCTGGAACCAGCTGTCCGATTCGTGAAGCCGAATGCTATTAATCAAGATAATCCAGATTAATCGGGATCAGGTTAAACCTCGAGAAAACAAACAAAACTAAAACACAATTCTCAAGGACTCTTTTAGCAGACAAGGTGAGGCATGGCAAAGACCTCCAGAACAATTTTTTTGGTTTTCTCTATGTTTTTGTTGTTGTTTCGTTTTCTCAAAATGTTTGTGTTTTTACATATTTTATCAGTGCAAATGACATTGAGGAGCTTTTAGATGCACATGACATGAAGGCAGACAACAGTGGAGAATGTAAAGCGGACATAGACACAGAACATTCAGGCAGATTCCCTTAATGCAGAAACATAGAAACTACGCACTCTAGTGGTCTCCTGTTCTGTTCTTTAAACAGTATTGCGAGCTTTCTCTCAGCTCTTTCAGTGCCCTAGCAGGACAGTCAGAATCTCTGCAAAACTCAGTGGACCAGGCCAATCGAGAACTCGCCAAGATTTTGCTTGAGGAAATCTTACATAATCCACACCTGCCTTGCTTGAGAAATCTCAGGCTTCTTTGCGAGTTGCTGTAGCGCAATCAGCACTTGGCAGCCCAGCCTTCCTCGAGATTTGCAGGCAGACAGCAAGGAAGTTTGAATCAGGGCTCGACGCGGGAGATTTAACTCCTTTGCGGAACTATCCATGGCATGAGATTTCATGTAGAATTTGGATTGCTGGTCCAGTGAAGAGCCTGCCACCAACAGGGCCCACCTCTATGCCCGCTATTTCTCGACATTTGTTGTCAAATGATCGTTTGTCGTACATTTGTGTCTTTGTGAGTCGTATCGACCAGCTCTCTAAGCCCAATCTCTTTGTTCGAAGAAAGTCCCCGCTGTGCCACCCAGTTGAAGTTGCAAAGGCAAACGGCTAGTTTTTTTACAATGAGTTCAAACATCAGCTTATCAGCTGAAGCTGTGCTTATCCGTTTATTGTCTGCCTAATCTGTGTGATTGCTCAAAGACTGAGGCCGAGCTGTCCACGTGACACAGACCGTGGTTGGCTCAAAGAGTTTGCAGCGCAGTCATGTGAATGGAATTTGGCATACATATCACAATGTTACTCGACATATATCTTTTATACATAGCATATATGCAGGCCACTATTGCACAGATTAGCTTGCTTCACTTGGCTGGAAAGAATTCCACTAACACCAAAGGAGGTTCTTTTTTGGGAAACCTCTCGTCTTCAATGTATGTATGTGAGCTTTGGGCTTTCCGCTTCTTGCTTTAGTGAATGATAGTATTGCCGCACGATCTATATAATGTGTTTCGCCAAGGGTGCCGTCTGTGTATTTGTCCCACTTTTGATGCGCTCTCAATACTCTTGTTTGGGGCCAAATGGAAGCCAAAATTGATTCTGCAGCGATTCTGTTGCATCCACCCGATTGTTGCAAATGTGTGCGAGCTGCAAGCTGTGCATGGCCGTGCATAGCTGTTATTTGCCAGGCACGGTAGCTAATATGAATGCCATGCCTGCATCTGCCCCGTGTCGTTTGTCAACCGTTTCAATGTCCTCCATAGGAAAAGCTCTTTGTGCCTTAAGGCCGGCTGAGCCCCTGCAAACGGTCAAGCTTATATATGGTCCAAAAATAGCAGTGGGCCCATTTCATGCCACATCCAGCTGGGGCTGGATGGGCCTTCGCATAGGCTTCTCATTGTCCTTCCCAAACGCCAAACATTTCTTGTTGCTCTGTGTACCTGCTGTCAATACAGCAGCATTGCCCTCTCACAGACCTGGGCCATTCCTGTGGAATTGTTGCTGCCCACGTCCTCAATCTGAATTTTAGAAATTGTGCTTCTCACTGTTATTCGTTCAGCAAAGGCAGTCAAGATCTTGTTGCCAAAGCCTTTGCCGGCAACGATCACCGTATCACCCCTCCCCGGGACGTCTTCTCACCCCAATGCACACTCTGACAGTCAAGTGGTGCCTTCTTATCCCGGGCTATCCTACGCAGCATTATGCTGTGCTTCCGCACAAAAATAGTGTCGATATCCCCCGTTATCCCCCCAAGTGAAAAGTATCATTCAGTTGACATGAGAAAGGGGAGATCAAGCAACCAGATGGGATCTTTACAATTTTTTTTCACTTGTTTTGCCTTTCCGTGATGAATCCTGCAAGGTTTGAGTGTTTGCAGGGTTGAAGCGCCGTCACACCACCTACCACCTTGTGAACACCTTGGCATCAACGCAATCCTCCGTGAACGGTTCTTCGCTGCTGTCTTCCCAGGTTTCCCGTTCCCATGCTTGTTTGAGTTGCCCTACCTGCGTTTTCCTACGGTCACAGACATTCAGCTGTGACATGTTGGGCATACATTTCGCTGTTTGTGCATGGAGAGTGCGGCTTTGCCAATGCTGCTTGCATTGCAAATCCCGTGAAGCTGAAGGCAACTCCGATGCTGCAGAACTGGAGGCAGTACATCTTGCTCTTAATTTGCAGGGGCCTGTTTTTCTTTTTTTCCGAGCATTGTAGAGAATTGTACACTAGCTCAATTGATTCAATTGATATGTGGTTTGAACATGGGCCTACTTTGAGCGTGATGCTTTCACAGGCACCAAATCTGCTGCGTGCAGATGCTGAGCTTCGCGCTGCAGAAGAGGCTGCACTGAGTACACGTTTTCCGCAGCAACGTGGACACAGAGTTGACCATTTTATTGCTGGTTGTCTTCACAGAGAATTGCAGCTTCGATGCTTCAAAAAATGGCCGATGTAGAGTCTAAAGTTTTTTGCGCTTGGTCAAGAGACGAGGGGGGTGCCCATTTTTGTACCCAACTTCACGCATTCTCAGCAGCTTCAAACAAAGAGCGTTATTATCTCAACTCATCAAGCTTCAGTTTCAATCTCTTTGACGGCCTCGGAACAAGCGACTAATGCATCAATGAACTGCCTGCAAGCATTTTGCATTCAATATGGAGAGTAGTGCAGGTGGACAAGGTACTATTGTTTTCAAGAGCATTTGGTTTGGTCAGATTTAATCTGCTACCATTGAGTGGGAAGCCGTGTTGCTTTCTTCCTTTATTTATGAGGCTTACGCCTGACAGCCGGGCGCCGGCCTATTTGGGTTTGGGTATGTGCAGGGCTGGGTCCTCTCTCTCTCTCTCTCTTTGTCTCTCTGTCTCTCTCCCTCTCTCTCTCTCTTTGAGACTTGGTGGGGACTATATTGAGCAAAGTAAAGCTATCTGGCGCGCATCTTGGCCCTAGGTTGGGCCAAGTTGGGTCCATGTGGTCTATGTTGAGCACATCATGGGCCCATGTTGAGCCTATGTTGGCCCAGGTTGGCGCATGTTAGGCTTATGTTGGCCAATGTTGGCCCTATGTTGAGCAATCTTGGAGGCTATGTTGGGCATATGTTGGTTATCTTGGGGCTACGTTGGGGAAATGTGAGGCAACTTATGTCACCAACATCCACGAAATGTCGATTAAGCCTGTCCGCGCGGCACGCATATCCGACACCACCGGCGCCCTGTTAGGCGAAAGTCGTATCCGCCGAAGGCCAGGCCACGAAGCACTGTAAAAAACGATGTTTTTGAACATTTTTTGAACATCCCGCGCAAGACACATATAGATCTGTCGACCGGATTTGGGCGGGGGTCGACCGGGGGTCGACACGGGGTATACACGCGGCTCAACAAAAGGGTCGGCGGCAGGGGCGGCGAGCGTATATAACCTTCGGTTACCAACCGAAGGCCTCCGGCAAGGGAACGTGCGCGTGGCCGGCGCCCGGATTTAAGAGGCTTACGCCTGACAGCCGGGCGCCGGCCAAGCAGGGTGAGGGTTTGTGTGAAACGCGTGAACGACGAGGGTGTGCAGGGCTGAGTACTCTCTCTCTTTCGCTGTCGCTTTGTCTTGGTCCTTTTCATCCTCGCTCTCTCTTTTCGCTGTCTCCGTGCCGGTATCTTTCTCTATCTTTCTCTTCCTCTTTCTGTGCTGTGTCTCTTGCTGTCATTCTCTTTCTCCTTCTCCTTCTCTTCTCTTTCTCTGTGTTTCTCCTTGTCCCCTCAGTGTTGGCCTGGGTCTTCGTCCGTGTCTCCGTCGCGGTATTTGTCGGTAGTTGTCTCTGTCTCTACCTCTGTGTCGGCTAAAAAGGTTGTGGGGGAGCATCGCTCTCCCACCCTCGCGCAGGACGGGGGCCGGGACTTCGGGCGTCCCGGCAGCATCCTTCGCAAGAAGGGGGCTGACCGCCCGGGTGTACGTCTTCTGTCGGTGGGGGGCCGAACAACCCCTCCCTGTGCAAGACGGGGGCCGGGACTTCGGGCGTCCCGGCAGCGTCCTTCGCAAGAAGGGGGCTGACCGCCCGGGTGTGCATTGCGAACGTGTGCGGATGACCGAGAGCGTTTAAAGGTTCGCAGAGCACAAGCAGAAGCATAAGCACGATAAGCTGAGGTACAAAACCACCCTGGGTAGGTATATTTCATCCCCTACGAGAGCGTTTGGTTCACGTGCAAGAGCATCGCTCATGCCCGGCAAAACCATAGTCCGCCCACTTAATAGATAATTCCATTCTAGAAATTCCGTACCCATAGTCCGCCCACTTAATAACAATTCCATTGTCGAAATTCCGTAGTCAAAAGCCTGGTGCACAGAACCACCATGGGCAGCACCATCTCACCCCCTATACCCGAGAGCCAGCGCATCGCGCAGCCGCTGCAGCCAAGTCCGCAAGAGCATCGCTCATGCCCGACAAAAACCATAGTCCGCCCACTTAATAAAAGTTCCATTCTAGACACTCCGTAGGCAAGTCGAACGCGGCGTGCTTCCAACCGCGCAAATCCTTGGTGCGTACTCCGCAAGAGCATCGCTCATGCCCGGCAAATACCATACTCCGCCCACTTAATAGAAATTCCATTGTCAAAAAGCAAGTGCAGAGCAGGGTTTCGATCGTTTGCTCCCGAACGGCCTCGGCCATGGCTTCGTTTTCGTGGGCTTGTGGAGCCAAAGGTTCGATTGAACCATCTGCCAGCACATGACTCTGTCACAGTCGCATTGCAAATACTGTGCCACATCCAGCACATCCTTCTCGATGCCCTCTCACGATTTCGACGTGGGTATGTGGGTATGTCATTTCAAGTCTCTCATGCCTTAACAAGCGGTGGCAACAACCGTCTAATCACCAACCCCCTCCATCGCACCACCGTCGAGAGCCTAGATGCTGTGCGCGTCCAGTCGCACAATCCTTGGCGCGTTTGCGCCTTCGCTCTAGCCTCCGCCAGAGCATCGCTCACGCGGCCAACTTCATGACAACAACCAGGCCGTAGCAGTCAAAAAGGACCGGTCAGCGAGCGCTGGACGCGCGGTGTGTCTGTGAGTTCGTTCTCGCCGGATGCGCGGTGCGTGCAGACAGCAGTGTCTGCGAGTTCGTTCTCGCCAGGTGCACATCGTCTACATCTTCCGTCGGTGGGGGACCGAACAACCCCTCCCTGTGCAAGACGGGGACCGGGACTTCGGGCGTCCCGGTAGCATCCTTCTCGCGAAGGAGGCTGACCGCCCGGGCGTATACCGAGTATACGCCGAAGTCGGGAGAGCCGTCTTGCACATTTCCTGCCATCTTTCTCTCTCTCTCTCTCTCTCCTCTCTCCCTCCCCTCTCTCTGTCTGTCTCTGTCTCTGTCTCTGTCTCGGTCTCTGTCTCTGTCTCTATCTCTGTCTCTGTCTGTCTCTGTCTCTGTCTTCTCTGTCTCTGTCTTCTCTGTCTCTGTCTCGGTCTTCTCTGTATCTGTCTTCGCTGTCTCTGTCTCTCTCTCTCTCTCTTTGTCTCTTTCTCTCTCTCTCTCTCTCTCTTTTTGAGACTGTGTGGGGCCTATGTGGCCCGTCTTGGGGCTATGTTTCCCATATCTGAGAGCTAGGGAGAGTCATCTTCGCTGTCTCTCTCTCTCTCTCTTTTTTTTTGAGACTGTGTGGGACCTATGTTGCCACATCTTGAGGCAATCTTGGCTCATCTTGGGGCTATGTTTCCCATATCTGAGAGCTAGGTAGGGTCATCTTGCAGCTATGTGAGACTGTGTGGGGCCTATGTTGCCCCATCTTGGGGCCATGTGGGCCATATCTGAGACCTATGTTGAGTCCTCTTGAGGGCCTCTGTCAGATCATCTTGGAGCACATGTTCCGCCTTTGCTCTTAGCACGTGCCCGACACCCACGAAATGTCGATTAAGCCTGTCCGCGCGGCACGCGTAACTGACACCACGGGCACCCTGTCGTGGACGCCGAAGGCCACGAAACACTGTAAAAAACGATGTTTTTGAACATTTTTCGAACATCCAGCGCAAGATACATATAAATCTGTCGGGCGGATTCGGGCGGGGGTCGGGCGGGGGTATCCCCGCGGTCCAACAAAAGGGTCGGCGGCAGGGGCGGCGAGCGTATATAACCTTCGGTTACCAGCCGAAGGCCTCCGGCAAGGACACGGGCCCGTGGCCGGCGCCCGGATTTATGAGGCTTACGCCTGACAGCCGGGCGCCGGCCAATTTGGGTTAGAGTCCGCGCACTGGATCCTCTCTCCCTCTCCCTCTCCCTCTCTCTCTCTCTCTCGCTGTCGGTCTCTGTCTCTGTCCCTGTCTCTGTCTCTGTCTCTGTCTCTTTCTCTGTCAGTCTCTGTCTCTGTCTTCTCTGTCTCTGTCTCGGTCTTCTCTGTCTCCGTCTTCGCTGTCTTTGCCTCTCTCTCTCTCTCCCTCTCTCTCGCTTTCGCTTTCCCTCTCCCTCTCTCTCACTCTCTCTCTTTCCCTCTCCTATTGAGCAAAGTTAAGCTATCTGGTGCGCATCTTGGCCCCAGGTTGGGCCAAGTTGAGCCCATGTGGCCTATGTTGGGCGCATCTTGGGCCCATGTTGAGCCTATGTTGGGCCTAGGTCGGCCTATGTTAGGCCTATGTTGGCCTAGGTTGGGCCTATGTTGGGCCTATGTTGGCGTATGTTGGCCCCATGTTGGTCTATGTTGGCCCTATGTTGAGCCATCTTGGAGGCTATGTTGGACATATGTTGGGGATATGTTGGCTATCTTGGGCCTATGTTAGGGATATGTAAGGCAACTCATGTGCCCAACACCCACGAAATGTCGATTAAGCCTGCCCGCGCGGCACGCATAACCGACACCACGGGCACCCTGTCGTGGACGCCGAAGGCCACGAAACACTGTAAAAAACGATGTTTTTGAACATTTTTCGAACATCCAGCGCAAGATACATATAAATCTGTCGGGCGGATTCGGGCGGGGGTCGGGCGGGGGTATCCCCGCGGTCCAACAAAAGGGTCGGCGGCAGGGGCGGCGAGCGTATATAACCTTCGGTTACCAACCGAAGGCCTCCGGCAAGGACACGGGCCCGTGGCCGGCGCCCGGATTTACCAGGCTACCGCCTGCAGCCGCCGACCCCCAAGGGATAGAACCTTAGCGCTAGCCTTGCTCTAGCCAGAGAGGTGGGGTGAGGCGTGACTGTCGATGTTAGCCTTAAGCCTTAGCCTTAGCCTTAGCCTAGCCTTAGCCATAGACTTAGCCTTAGCCATAGACTTAGCCTTAGCCTTAGACTTAGACTTAGACCTTACTTTTTTACCTTTCCGGACCCGGGGTTTGTTGTAAAAGGGAGTTGTAGGATTTGGCAGGTATGCGTAGAAAATTGCGAACCTATTTTCTTCCATTGTTGTAGAATTTTCTAGGACTTCCTCTTGTGTTTAGGTTCCCAGATTTCCCCAAAAATTGATTAATCTATTGTTAACCTATTTGATTCTAGTGTTCCCGGCACATGCCCTGGAATTTTCCTAGGAATGCTCTAGGCTTTGTTTAGATTTTGCGCTGGACGAGGTCCGGCCAGTGCCCGTGGTAACGTGAAAGGCTCTGGTAAGATTTTCGCATGCCTGTCAGGCGCCCGTGTCCGCGCCATGTGGCGTGTTGGTTCTAGGACGGAGCAGCGCGGGTGGACCGCGGTATTTTTTTCCCAGATTGACCATCGGACGTCATCTCTTGCATGAACCCCGTGATGCGGAGCCCTCCTCCCCATAAAGGATATCATTGCCCAAGAATTTAGACCCAACCCAGCACCACCAAAGCAGGTACCCAAAAAGTCGACTTTTTGGGTACCTCCCAGATTTACCATCGGACGTCAGCTCTTGCATGAACCCCGTGACGCGTTGGGTTCTGCGGCCTGTGGGGCCGCAGGGCGCTGCCCATGGTCTAGGGTACATTCAAATGCCACGCGTATCGGCGCCGGACTTGTGCTGAATCGATCGGTTTCTCCCGGCGACCCAACCCATTACCACCAAAGCAGGTACCCAAAAAGTCGACTCGGCGCCCGGACTTGTGCTGAATCGATCGGTTTCTCCCGGTGACCCAACCCATCACCACCACAGCAGGTACCCAAAAAGTCGACTTTTTGGGTACCTCCCAGCAAGCGCTAGAAAATTCTTGGAAAAGCCTCCAGCCGAAAACATAACAAAATCTAGACAAAGCCTAGAGCATTCCTAGGAAAATGCCAGAAAAGCCTTTGAACATCTCATAAACCAACAGAAAACGTGACAAAATCTACGAAAAAGCAAGGGCATTGGCCGGGACCACGCCGCGACCAGCCCGGGATTCGGGCCCAGGACCATTTTGGACCGTGCTTATTTTCCCGCGCGGGTCGAGAGGGTGCCCCAAGATGTAAATCAATTGGGATGGCAGAATCTTGGACAATCCAGGTCGCCATCAGGTAGCTTTCCCGGAGAATTCCGTAGCTTTTAGGACCGGATTTCGTCACTGCAACAAGGGTCCGGAGGGGTAGGGGAGGTAAGGTCTAGGTCTAAGGCTAAGGACTAGGTCTAAGGCTAAGGATCAGGCTAAGGCTAAGGCTAAAGCTTAAGGCTAAGGCTAACATCGACAGTCACGCCTCACCCCAGGTCGGCGGATTCCCCAATAGCCATGCTATGGGGTCTTGCAAAACTAATAGGCGGACGGGCGCCGTCGGGTCACCGTCAGAGGTGGTGGGCGGATGGTGTCCCGGTCATGTTTTGATGGCGTCCGGGTCATGTGATGCTGGTGTCCCGGTCATGTTTTGATGGTGTCCCGATCATGTTTTGATTGTGACCCAGTCATGTTGTGATGGTGTCCCGGTCCTGTTTTGATGGTCATGTTTTGATGGTGTCCCGATCATGTGATGGTGGCACGGTCATGTTGTGATGGTGTCCCGATCATGTTTTGATTGTGTCCCAGTCATGTTGTGATGGTGTCCCGGTCCTGTTTTGATGGTGTCCCGGTCATGTTTTGATGGTGTCCCGGTCATGATGTGATGGTGTCCCGGTCATGTTTTGATGGTGTCCCGGTCATGTGATTGTGTCCCGGTCATGTTTGATGGTGTCCCGATCATGTGATGGTGGCGCGGTCATGTTGTGATGGTGTCCCGGTCATGTTTGATGGTGTCCCGGTCGTGTTGTGACGGTGTCGGTGTCACGTTGTGATGGTGTCCCGGTCATGTTTTGATGGTGTCCCGGTCATGTGATGGTGTCCGGGTCATGTTGTGATGGTGTCCCGGTCATGTTTTGATGGTGTCCCGGTCGTGTTGTGACGGTGTCCCGGTCATGTTTTGATGTGATGGTGGCGCGGTCATGTTGTGATGGTGTCCCGATCATGTTTTGATTGTGTCCCAGTCATGTTGTGACGGTGTCTCGGTCATGTTTTGATGGTGCCCTGGTCATTTTGTGATGGTGTCCCGGTTATGTGATGATGGTGTCCAAGGAAGATATGGTCGATGTGTTGAAAACAGCAGCTGTTTCCAGATTTTTCTTTTTGTCCCGGTTTGTATCTTGCTATTGGGGTCTCCAGCTGGGCTAATTTGTTTTTTTCTCTTCCCCCTCCCGTTTCTTTTTTTCTCTCCCTCCCTCCCTCCCTCCCTCCCTCGCTCGCGTGTTTCGCTTCAAGACCCCTTTTCCACACAGTTCTGTCCTCCATGTTGTCACTTGTTGCACCGTTAAGCAGGGGCAGATCCAAGTGCAGCAAAATGCTTTTCTACTTGATGGGTCTAGACTAGGTCTAAGTTAAGGGAGAGTCAGGGAGAGTAGTTAATCCTTTCAAACCACTAGTTCAAGGTTAGATGGACAGTCAAGCATAGACAGGCTTTTACTTTTCCAGCTCTCTTGACAGCACTCTTTTTGGGAGGCTTTGCCACCTTCTGGGCGGTATGCTGCCTTGTTGGAGCGGGTGGTGCAGCTAGGATCAGCGAGCTCCTGAGGACAACATGCTTCAAGCCAATGATACAGCCGCCTCATTCCTCGCTGAATTTCAGGGTTTGCACTTCCACGGCTTAGAATGTGCGCGAATTGAATTCGATGCCTTCAAGCAGACTGTTGACTCAGAGTTGACCCTTGACAGAAATGCGAAGCCACCGGATCAAGTCCTATAGTGCACCAATGCAGCACCACGATGGTGTGCATGATGTGTGGAAGCAGCTAGGTGCACGTCACAAAATCAAGCAGGCAGGAAACAGCACGGGGTAACACGGATCTTTTTATGAAGGGCAGGAGTAGCACGGGCCACGCCTTTAAGAATTCAATCAACTACACGCTGCCAGTACCACGATAACTTGACGCATTGCGATGTGGTCGCCGGAGGCACCGATTCAAGTCACATGCGCAGAAAGTAAGGAGTATTGCTAATGCACAGGAACTAATGGACGTACGGATTGATGATAAGTAAGGAACAAGAACCTACTAGGAGCAAGGGCATCGCTACTAGGAGCCAGGACGCTATTAGGGGCTCCTGGCCCTACTACTAGGAACAATAAAGCTACTATGCGTTTCTGTATATACTTAAAAAAATCACCCCCCCTCCTAGTAGCAAGAATGCTACTAGGAGCAAAGGTCTGCATCACATTCAACAACAAGAACATATCATATCAATAGCCCAAGGGCTCCCCTCAGTCACCAAGGGCGCTTTGCGAGTCAAAACAAGAACAAACAGCGACAAGTCAAACGCTAGTAGTACGGCCAGGAGCTACTAGTAGCTTCCTTGCTCCTAGTAGAAATGCCCTTTGTTACTAGTAGCGATGCCCTTGCTCCTTTGTGAGTTTTTAGATTGTGTTGGTTTGATTCTGGTTTTGTCCCCGTATGCACAATAGATTTTGACGTGGTGTTTGATACAGGTTTGCTACACTCTTGGATTCAGAAAGAATCGAAACAAAGAAGCATTCGTCCAGCATATACCGGGGAAGGTCTTGAGTGGTTATTCAAGTCTTACACAATGCCGTCTCTAAACTCCAAAACACATCACAATAATATCGCAAGCGTCAGACCAAATCCGCAAACCCTAGTTCGAAGCAGATCCCCACTGTTTCTCTACACCAGTCCATACCAGGAAACATTGCAGTTTTAGCTTTGGTTTGAGAGATGCAACTGCGAGGAGCACCTGAAGGGTTGGCTCTCTCGGAGGCCGGGCAGAGGGGGTGGCAGCATCAATGCTGTAGTGTTACCTTCTTGTCGAGCTGAGTTTGGAAGAGTTTGACACTTGTGAAGAACAAGTCGCATAAAATCCGAGAATGCGTTCATCGAGGCTGCGACTACTACTTTTGTGTTTCCTGTACACCAAAGGGCAGGCAGGTGTCGGTGGTGAATCTTTTAAACTGTCTGTTGGCTCAGTGGATATATATAATATGGAGTACGCAGACGTGGTGATGTGGGCTACACATATTGGCCTATGCGCAATCTGGCAGGTTGTCAATCTTGTCCTGGCACGATTTGCGGATGCAAAATGTATTTGCCTCAACAAAGTTAGAACTCCGGTTCACTTGAATCTTGGCGTCAGCACCCAGGTCAAACTCTGGATACGGGAGAGGGCGTGCAGCAAAGCTGGTTCATAGCACCCTTGCAGAACAGCATTTGTTATGATGTCAGCGCTATTTGGCTGCAATCCTTGTCAGTTTGCTATCAGCTGGTTTGCTCATGCTAGTACCAGACTTGCTCAGGTTGGGCTTTCGTGCAGTTTCCGCTGCAATCTAAAGCGACCTAGCTGTGATTTTTGGAATTGATATGAATTGATGTATTTTGGATATCTTGGTTTACCCTGTACGGATGGCTGACTTCCTTGCAAGGCTTACCTGCGAATATGCCTCCGGCAGCGGAGTTATGCTTGAGGAGTCTTGCGTCAACGTGCCAGCAACAAACAAGGATTGAATTTTGAATTGCTGCAGAGCTGCAAGCCCCCTGCAGGAGTATACACAGGCGAATTGCGAGGGAAGCATGAGCTCCAAAGTGCCACTTGCAAAACACCTCACGTGGCTTGGAGTTTTGGACTTCTTCAACGGAGCCTTGGCAATTGGAAGAATACGATGACATTTCCAAACCGTATTTCGAAAGGTGCAACAACTTCTCGAATTCAAAGACTGACCACAAGTCCTTCGTGCTTTTGCTGGTTTCAGAGTTGAAGTGATGTACGCTGTTGCCTGAAGTAAGGAGCTTGTACACCAGATGGAAATGGTACCGCGTCTGACATTGGAACCGAACGTTTGAGATTAAAGGAAGTTTCATACGAGTGTTCCCTGAACATCAATGTTGTGTCCTACCTCTTGGTGTTCTAGGGAACCAAACTTAACTTGGTTGCGTGAAAGGAAGCCATGGCGAAAACCTGTTCATGGGTCACTCTGAAGGCAAGTTCATCAAGTTCAACAAGCCAGTCAAGACCCCAGTTGATGAGGTGCAAAGTACACAGGATACCATTCTGAGAAGCTTGTTTGGAGCAGTTCTAATCAAGTCTGTTTGATTTCCTTCAGGGACCTTTGGAGCCTTGGGAGGTCTTACAAAGGATAATTTGCTCCAACATTTCAGGTTGATCGCTACCCTGATTGCAGCGCGCAGGGTGCTGTTGACGTCGGTGAAGGCTGGAAGGGTTTTGTTTAGAAGCGAAGGTGCTTTATGAAGGCCGCGAAGGTGCTTTTCTAAAAGTTCCCCAAACAGTGTGGTCACACTACAAGTTCTTGCGGTAGTTCAGGCCGGGTGTTTGATCAGTGGTGCTCGCGGCCGTCGGCGGCTCTGCTATTTACGGTACATTCGTTCACCTCGAGATTTTGGAATTGCATTTCAACTGCGCAGGCTCGCAGAAACTGGTGGGCCCGAGCGGGTGCTTTCCTCGACTGTGCTCTCGTTGTGGTGCCATGCGCATTTTCGGACTTGGCGGTCACTTTTCATGGCAGGCGCAAGGGTATCCACATGTTTTGGTGATCCAAAGTCGACTTTTCGCAGCAGGGGCAAGAGGTCCGAGCAGGTTTACTTCGATGTGCAAATTTTGTGGCAGGCGCAATACTTTGGACATGATGTTGGCTTTCGGCGCGCTCTGATTTCGTGGCAGGACCTTTGGACATGTGGCTCAGCTTCGGAAGCTGGAAGAAGTCTTGAGCGAATGCTGCGTTTTGGTATCTTGACGTTGTCTTTGGAAGCACTCGTGCTGCGAAGCCAGTTGAACTTGGCAGGGCTGCACGATGTGAGTCTTGATGTGCAGACTTCGTGGCAGGACTTTGTGGAAGCGCAGTTCTTCCCCACATCACTATGTGGGGTTCTTGTTTTTCGCTCTGCACCCGCCGCTCCGCAACCGCAGCCTCCGCCCGCCTCCGCCCGCCTCCGCCGCCGCCGTCCCACATCTTCTTACACCACCATTCTTCAACCACCACTCACATCATCATCTTACTCCACTCATCTCACACAACCCATCTTACACCACCCATATTTCACCGCTCATCTTGCACCACCCATCTTACACCACCCATATTTCACCACTCATCTGACACCACTCATCTTACACCACTCATCGCACGCTACTCATCTTACAACACTCATCTCACACCACTCATCTCACACCACTCATCTTACACCACTCATCTCACACTACCTCTTACACCACCCATCTGACACCGCCCATCTTTACACCACCCATCTTACACCACTCATCTGACACCACTCATCTGACACCACGCATCTTACACTCATCTCACACCACCCATCTCACACGACTCAGCTCACACACCTAGTCTCACCACCTATCTTTCACCACCCCATCTTACAGCACTCATCTCCCGTCTTACACCACTCATCTTACACCACTCTGTGAACCCGGAGTGCAGATTTCGTGGCAGACGCAGTACACAGAGCCTCCCGCGCCAGCTGCGGCGTGCTTGGTCGCTGCTGGGCCGCGGCTGCTTTTTGTGTGGCAGGCACAGCGCTTGGTGAAGCTGGAGTGCAGATTTCGTGGCAGGCGCAGTGCACAGAGCCTTCAGGAGGAGCTGTGGCGCGCGTGGTCGCCGCTGGGCCGCGGCTGCCTTTTGTGCGGCAGGCACAGCGCTTGGTGAACCTGGATTGGAGATTTCGTGGCAGGTGCGGTGCACAGAGCCTTCAAGAGGAAGGGTAAATTTTGTGGCAGGCGCAGTACACCACTCATCTTACAGCACTCATCACACGCCACTCATCTTACACCACTCATCTCCCGCCACTCATCACGCACCACTCATCTTACACCACTCATCTCACACTACCTATCTTACACCGCCCACCTGGCACCACCCATCTTACACCACCCATCTTACACCACTCGTCTGACACCTCTCATCTGACACCACTCATCTTACACCACTTATCTCACACCACTCATCTTACACCACCCATCTTACACCACTCATCTTTCACCACTCATCTCACACTACCTATCTTACACCGCCCATCTGGCACCACCCATCTTACACCACCCATCTTACACCACTCAATCTGACACCTCTCATCTGACACCACTCATCTTACACCGCTTATCTCACGCCACTCATCTTACACCACTCATCTTACACCAGTCATCTCCCGCCACTCATCTCACACCACCCATCTCACACCACTCATCTAACACAGCTCATCTCACACCACCTATCTTACACCACCCATCTTACACCACTCATCTCACACCACCCATCTTACACCACTCAAGCGCAGTATGCAGAGCCTCCCGGACCACTGCAGTACACCGCTCATCTTACACCACTCATCACACACCACTCATCTTACACCACTCATCTCACACCACTCATCTCACACCACTCATCACACCACTCATCACACACCACTCATCACACACCACTCATCTCACACCACTCATCTTGCGCCACTCATCACACACCACTCATCTTACACCACTCGTCGCACACCACTCATCACGCACGACTCATCACACACCACTCATCTTACACCACC